GCTGACATCCATACTTGCTTTTACGCGCGCTTTTCTTTTAAAATCGTCGATTTGAAAATTTAATTTAAAAAAAGAAAAAAGAAATGTTGACTCTCTTTTCGTATAAATGTATAACTTACTGACAACTTTAAAGCGTAAAGATTGAGCTTAAAGTTGGAAAATGCATTAAAGCGAGTAGCTAGTATTATAAAGTTCAAGCATCTTTTATAAAGAAAAGAAGAATATTTCGTTCATTTTTCATACGGAAGAAAAAAGCTAAATCTTAAACTTTGACAAAAGTTTCGAAGTAGAAAGGAACTTGTACTAATTTTAACAATTTATATCAGTTTTTTATAATACGTGTCAAGTTTAAAAATTATTTTATAATAATAAAATGCTATTGTGATTTTTAAAATATGTTTTATTATCACGAATTTAAAAGTTAAGCGAAATTACTCGTACTTTAAAAAATTTGACAGAGGGATATAAATTATTCAAATCTTACAGTTTGCTATATATATTATTAATTCAGAGATATTGAAAATGAAGAGAATGTCGAAATTAATATAATGTATTCTTATTATATATACTTCATTTCTTCCATGATTTTCGACATGTTCGAAAATATTGGAATTTTGTTCGATCTCGTGAATATTCTTATCCAATTATATATTTGAACTTATTATTATTAAAATATAATATAAAAATAATTTTCAATTATAAAACAATATTTTAGAATTTTTTATCTTTTTTTTTTTTTTTTTTCGTATTTTTCGCTATTTTCTTATTCGCTTATATTCTTTCCCAAGCTGTTTTAACTTACAATTACCACAATCACCAAGGAAATGGGAGCATCATTGCAAAATATTTTACGATCGTAATGGGACAAAAACCGTGCTAAAAGATCGTTTAGGTCTCGAAAAAGTTGTTCCTTTTTATGCCACGTTCTTCTTCTTTTACGTTTTTCGTGTCCTATATCGATCGATTTTCAACTTTTCAGCGCGGTAGTACTCGCAAAATGACGAAATTATGCTAAAAATCTATTTATTTTGCATTAGAAAGAAAGGTTTTTAATTTCATCCATATTAATTTCATGTATTTCAAGTTGTGTATCGAGTTATCATATAAGTTCTATTACAAATTCTATTAAAGTCTTTCGATCATGCACATATTTAATCATATCTTATCAGATTACATAGAATATCTATTTTTTATTTATTATAAATCACTATTATATATACGTAATTTATATTAACATTTGTAATCAAGATACAAATTGTAACGTGATACTTTATTCGAGCACATCGAATAATAAAATATACATCTATCAATATTGGATACCAACAAAGAGAAGTAATCTATAGAAACGAAACATCAACCACTCGAAACTTTATATTCTTCCTTTATACCCACAAGGAGCAAACTTTAAATTGGCAATTCCATGTTTCTATCTTATATATATATATATATTTTCGTTCGAGAATAAAAGAATTTACACTTCTTTCTCAAGGAAGAAAAATTTAAGTTATAAAAGTTAAGTATTGATACGTAAGAATATTCGTGAATATCTAATCTCGATCCATCTGTGATATTCGAAGAATCTCGAACGCTCGAAGATTGCACGCGTTACCTCATGTTTTGCAACAAGACTTCGAATCCGTTGCCGTACCCATTTCCTCCGTCACTCATCTTGTGGCTCTCGTTTGTTAGTCTCTCAGCTCTTTGTGCATATGTACTCACATGAGCATGCACAAGTAAACGTGAAAACCATGAGCAAACCGTTTACCCTCGGATTTCGTACTAGCTTTAGACCAACGAGTCTCTCCGCTCCTTTGATGAAACTTTAACATTTGTTGTGCGTAAATTTGACCAGGTACGGTAAACATTTCGAAAAGAAGATTAGGACTTATAGCTGCACGGCAAATAACCTACCGTTTTATCTAACCGTGCACTAATTCGTCTACTTACCTGTGGATTAAAATCTGTGTGCATTACGTAGGCTAGATTTCATTACACGCAAGGTGTGCGATCTCTTATCGTTGTAAGAGTATCATCATAGAGAAGAGTAAATATAGCTAGTGGTTTCGCGCGGAAACGGAAGAAGCAACGGAGAATTAAAACATAAATTTACTTTATTGTATTATACTTGAATTTACATACTTTTGTTTTTTCATAGTCTCTGGATGGATTTATTTATTTCATTGTTTATTATCCCATAGTTTTCAATTACTGAATATTTGCATTTCTAAATTTCTGTTTAGTATGCAATGAATATTTGTAGGATAGTTTCAGAATTAATGAAGTTATGATCAATAGTTAACATAATTTTTAATCTTTCAATATCCTCTTTCCATTCATCATTTAATCTAAACCCAAAGTTTTAGCATAGAAAAATTATCATAGGATTTTCTTCTTACATAGTTGTTTTTTCATAGTCTGTGCTCTAAATGGATTTATTTCATTGCTATTATCCCATAGTTTTCAATTACTGAATATTTGCATTTCTAAATTTCTGTTTAGCATGCCTCAATTTGAATATTTGCATCAGTTTCAGAATTAATGAAGTTATGATCAATAATTAACATAATTTTTAATCTTTCAATATCCTTTTTCCATTCATTATCTAATCTAAACTCAAAGTTTTAGAACAGTCTGTGCTCTAAATGAATTTATTTCATTGTTATTATCCCATACTTTTCAACTACTAATATTTGCATTTCTAAATTTCTGTTTAGCATGCCTCAATTTGAATATTTGCACTAGTTTCAGAATTAATGAAGTTATGATCAATAGTTAACATAATTTTTAATCTTCCAATATCCCCTTTCCATTCATTATCTAATCTAAATCCAAAGTTTTGGCACACTCTATGCTCTAAATGGATTTATTTCATTGCTATTGCTATTTAACTCATACTTTTCAATTATCAAATTATCAAATATTTGTATTTCTAAATTTCTGTTTAGCATCTTTTCAACAGACCTCAAATTTAATGAATTTATGATCAATAGTTAACATAATTTTTAATCTTTCAATATCCCCTTTCCATTCATTATCTAATCTAAACCCAAAGTGTTGGCAGTTCTGTGCTCTAAATGGATTTATTTCATTGCTATTTAACTCATATTTTTCAATTATCGAATATTTGTATTTCTAAATTTCTGTTTAGCATCTTTCCAACAGACCTCAGTTTCAGATTTAATGAATTTATGATCAATAGTTAACATAATTTTTAATCTTCCAATATCTCTTCCATTTATCATCTATCATCCATTTATCAATCCCAAAGTACAGAAAAGTTATCATTATCATTAATTCAAACTTTCTTCTTCATATCAGAATACACCTTGCACAAAATGAAACGAAATCTATACATGTAACGAAACATCTTTGAAATATTTCCACTCTGGATAATCCACGTTCGTTAAAACGTTCGTTATTTCTTCTAATTCTCTTAGTCTTTTCTTCCTTTTTTTTTTTTTTTTTGAAAAATAGAGCTCAAATTGAGTACGTCCTAAGATGGAAGATAACAAGAACTGGTTTACGGTAAATCGAAGCCGGCGGGAACGATGGCGCAAATTGGCCCCGCAAAACGAATCGTCTTTTATTCGTCGATAGAATAAAAATAAAAAAAAAAAAAAAAAAAAAGAAAAAAAAAGATGAAGGGAGAAAGAAGTATGAGCGCATCATCGCAGACATTGTCATTCGCAGGTAACAATGTGACAGCCGGTAAAAAGAAAGACTTTTTCTTGCATCGCTGAAGCCGAGCCCCTGTGCTTTACGAGCGCTCGTTTTCCTTCGTCAAAGTGAACGGACAAGTCAAAGCCCGTAGAAACATACCCTCTATTGTCTCTACGCTCCGTTACGAAAGATCATTGAGCAGTTTATCGATTCTCCAACTGTCGCGATATACTGCTTGCCACTTCAATTCAAGACAAGCAATAATTGTCAGTTGTACTCGGTTGATATCGGTGTTCCATCAGTATTATGAACTAGGTAGTACTTTATCGAAAAAAATATTATATTATATACGAATCTCGTTGCCGTTGTCGCTAAGAAATGTAAGGAGGACGTATATCCTTTATTCCAATTTTTAACATATTCTCCGAGCAAAAAGACGGAGGGATAATAAAAAGAACTTATGCATGTAATAACTTCGCGATTCTTCTATACATGCATTTCTCGGATAATGCAGCTGGTGCTTTGCCAGATGGTCTTTGGAACGAATATGCTTTCGTTGTTCATTGAACATAGAGGGATATATTGCGTGTATAGCAATGTCATATGGAGAAAATTACGGAAGTATCGTGCATACACAGATCTATTTAAAGCTCACATTCTATAGCTCACGTTTTATAACATTTTTAAACATTCTGATATTTTTTTTAAACTCCGCAAGAGAAACTATCGATCCAAATTTTGAATTTTGAAAGGGAAGTCTACGTATAAATGTTAATATTGGATATCGACGCGAGTGAAAATAGGGGGAAAAAGAGGAAAAAAAAAAAAAAAAA